GTAGATAATTATTTATTTATATACAATATCACCTGTATAATAATCTAAGTGATAATACACCTTTTACATTGTATCATAGAGAATTAATAAGCACCCCGACAATGACGTTGATTGATAGTTGTAATCTACAACACCTGAAATTGCTACCGTATATTAATAATCTAAGGACTAATACGTAAACCATGGTGTGATATTTGTTTCATTATTAAAAAAGGGAGACTATTCAAATTAAATTAATAACGTTAAGCGGCAAAAACAGCACATTCCACATATATTTCAAACATAAAAATTAGGAATTATGTCACTGGAAAGGCTGTTATTACAACCAAATGAAGCAAATAAAGACACAAAAAATTGTACATTTCAACAGGTATAAGCGTACTACCTTATCTCCGATGTGCGTTGAAAGCGTCTGTATAATAGAGGCTATCATAAACTAAACATGGCCAAACTTGTTTCAAATGGGCCATTAATAAATGAAATAAAATGGGGTTTAACGTCCAACTGTTCTGCATCGACTTGGCTAATGAGGGAAATTTTATTCGGAGTATGCCCTACTCTTATTTCGAATTCCAACTGTCAAGTACTCTTTTACGTGCACGCCAATGTGTACTCGGGACCTCGGGTTTTCGTCCTATCCAAAAGATCCTCCAGAACTACATGGGACTTAACAACAGGGAGGGAAGTGGACCAAGGATACACCAGCAGATGCTAGATCTACCCAAGGTGACCAGAGCAGTATTCCCAACAACCAAGCTCTTCACCACACAGATCCCCACTTCATCCCGACTCCGACAAGAAAATCCTACCAAAACGCCACCAGCTACAACCAGTTGATCTCCACTGCACCTTCCCCAAACACCACCACACTACCAATTACTTTAAGGGCAAAATAGAACTGAAAGGTAACGACGCCATCCACTGGAGCCCAGACATGACCAGAGATGATCATCAACTGCTGGATGAGGAATTTATACTAGGATTAGGAAAAAAAAATGAGAACCCGTCTTTATGACAGACAGTTGACAATGAGCGACAGACTTCTCATCCCCCTAGAAATGAACATTCTTGACAAAGGCCCTAACTTCATCCCAACCCCCACAATAACATCCATAGACCCCATAACCCAGGCAACCGATCGCTTCCAAAGAACCCTTATTTATTTAGGAAGAAACCGGACAGGGGTAAAAAAATTATTCACAAACACATCCACATAGAAACCACCTAAAAAGTCATTATCACCAGCCATCCTAAAAACTTTCGACGAAATGAACACAGAAATATCATCACTTTAACCACAATCACAAAACCCAAATCTCAACCGAGCAAGAAAGATAGCATTAAACATCTCCAAAAAAAACCAAAAACATAATAATTAAGAAAAGCGACAAAGGCTCGTGTTGTGTCATAATCAATCGCACAGACTATATCTCTGAGGCAGAAAAACAATTAAATATCCTAAACTTTACAATAAATTAGACCAACCCATCTTTAAAGACATCACAGCCTTAATAAACAGCATCTTACATGAATTGCAAGACATGGAATACATAACAGCAAAGCAATATGATTATCTATTCACTAAATCTGACTGCCGACAACGACATCTCTATACGCTACTAAAAATACATAAAAATCCAGAAACGGAATGGTTTATACCTAATAAATTACTCAAGGGACGCATAATAATATCAGACTGTGGCAGCGATTCAAACACAGTCCTAGCATGTTACCCCTAGCATGCCAACACCCATCCTACCTTAAAAATACTAACGATTTTATTCACAAAATCAAACAGTTAAGAGTCCCTGAGCACATCATTTTAATATCCATCGACGTACTGAGCATGTACAACGTACACGAACATCGATAATACCACAGGAGTTGAAGCAGTTAGGAAAACATTTTTAGGAACCCGCAAGCATCTAGACCGGACGAAGAAATCCTCACATTACTCGACATTTGTCTCAGGAGGAATGACTTCGCTTTCAACGACCAAGTATACATGTATTCTTCCGGAACTGCGATGGAAAAACAATTTGCCCCGAGTTATGCAAATCTCGTCATGGCGGAGTGGGAATGGGAAGTTCTGCCACTCTGCCCATTCTAACCAGATTTCTATGGACGTTTTTTAGATGACGCCTTCATAGTTTGGACGTACACACTAGATGAAGCTTGGACGTTTTTCAACATTCTGAACAATCATCATCCATCTGTCAAATTACCCACAGTTAATGTAAGTCATAATAGCACAAATTTCCTTGACACTACCGTTTTTAAAAGTAGCAACACCAAAAACACAACCCAATTGGAAACTAAAGTATTTTTCAAAGAAACCGACACACATCTATTATTGTTCAAAGAATATGTTTTGTACTCAGAAGACAGACTTTCACGCAGTAGTTCAAGCATAATTTATTTAATTTCATGTAGACAATGTGAAGAACAATACGTAGGGGAGACCCAAAATGCACTTCGGGAAAGAATTAACAGCCACCGGTCAGACATAGTCACCAAAAAAGACAAACCGGTATCATTTCACTTCAACCAACCAAATCATGACATTTCCGATCTCATTGTCACGCCAATAGAAAGGACTAAGAGCGACTTTAAAACTACAAAAGAAATTAAAACGTTTAGGTTAACAAGAGAAAAATTCTGGATTGACAAATTGAAAACAAAAATCCCCTAGGTTTGAATATTCATACGGCTAGCTCATAAGCCCCTTTTGTACTCCCATTTAGCGCAAGAGCAGTAGGGGCATCCAAAATCATCAGAAAACACTATACTGACCTCCAAAAAAATCACCCGAAAATCTTCACAACAGAAACTTATAGTTGCATATTCTAAAAATAAAAATCTGAACGGCATTATAGTGCATAGTAAATTAGACTAAATAACACCAGTCCTCGCCCAAAGCAAACAATATAGCAAGCCCGAGCCCTAGCCCTAACCCTTAGTAAATAAAATCAACTAGTCTAGTTATAAGAATTCCCAGCCCTAACCCCGGGATTGTGGAAAAAACACATGTTTAGAAAAATCAATCCTTAGTAGGAAACACACTAATGTAGCTCTCACCCGAGAGTCTTAAATTTATTCTTTTTTCTTCAGAAACAAAAATACCAGAATACCACAAGCGACATCGAAGGAAGGTCATCTGCGCCACCAACACCAAAAAACAGCGAAATCAACTTTGTATATAAATCTAATGTATTGTATGTATTTTTTTTTTATATAAAACTATGAAATATCACGAACCACATTTTCATCAGACTAGGTCAGTGCTGAAGTAGAGACTTAACCTCCCCCTCCAAATTCTTAAACCTAACCCTTTATAGAAGACTGGACTTGGATCCAATTTATCTTTTTCCCCTCTTAAAAGGGTTAGGGTTTGGGTTATTTTCAATATTCCCCAAAATACTCAATTATATAAAGTGGTCATTGTGGACTCCGAAAATTCCCGAACCTCCCAAACCGGCATACAATTAGCATCTCCCTATAATACATTTCTTAACAAACCGATGTAATGACACCTGACTAAGGCAATAACCACCAGTTTTATGTTAACACTGGTTAACGGATTTTAATGGTAAAGTCATAAACACGTATATCATAATTTCGTTGCTAAATCGTAATAATATTTTATAAATTACACTTACAGTGCTAATAAATTCGCAAAATGTTTTGACACGAGACACATGTAAAGGGAGGTAAATCGATGGAAACTAACAGGTTACATACCACTTTACGTATTTTTCATTGTCAGTTATATTAAAACCCTGACTTGCCATCACTGCTGTGTTGTATAACATTTACAATATTGTTTGTAAATAATATTCGTATAACATGAACTAGCTATATGGTACAATTCAGAGTAAACCTAGAAATGGGTAGTGTCTATAATCAGTTGATAAGTTTGACTATTATATAATTTATGCCAGTATAGTTAATAGGAGTAATACATCTTAAACGATTAATAATTAGATGATAGACATTAAGTAACTGTATGTCAGTAAGTTATTACGTCACTGTAAGTTGACTTTGTATATCCAATAATGATGTGTATTAGAATTAGTCATTCTTTCACACTAGAATGGACAGTTTTACAGCTATAAAAATCTTCCTAATTAATGCCTACTATATAATATTCTAGCCACGTTCTACAGATAATGACATGACTTGTATTTTTCATAAGTGAACGCTACTTTTTTTCGGTAAAAATAAAGTATTGAATTAATTTGCTTGGGTTGATCTGATGTTTTATTAGGCAGAAAAGCGGCTTGTTTGCTAATCTGAGTTATGTATCTGTGGCTTACTAGTCTGTTTCGATTAAATCCAGTCTCTATCTAAATACGTACAATTGTCAAGGAGGAGAGAGAGAGAGAGAGAGAGAGAGAGATGGGGTTTAACGTCCACTCGACACAAATTAGGTCATTTCGGGACTAACATCCCGAGAGTGTTTAACGTTTCTATAATTCGCTTGCGCGTAGGCTTCTTTAGCAGTGTGAGGAAACCGGAGGACCCGGAGAAAACCCACGAGGTTGGACAGGCGACCCTACTCCTTGTCACCTACAACCGGGGATTCGAAACCACGCCAGTTGACTCAATGACAGACCTTAAATCCAATGAAATCGGGTAGCTACGATGGCTAAGTGGGTAGGCTGCTGGCTCTCTAGCCCGGAGGTCGCGTGTTCGCTCCTGATGTTGGCCGAGAAAGTTTACCGGGTTTTTCCGGCATGGTTTCCCCTTGTCAGTGCAGTGGTGCTGGACGGAGGGCCTGACAAGGACAGAAGTAGCCGTTCGGATGGCACGCAAAAAACCGAGGTCCCGTGTACACGTGCACGTAAAAGATCCCTTCGCCGTTGGAATACAATATAAGAGTAGGCCTTAGCGCCGCTGTCCGGGCAAAAGTTCCTCTATGCCCGTCTTCCTTATAGCTCAGTCATTTTGAACCAAATCAGAGTGGTCGGTCCTATAGTCATTTCAATGTGTATCCATGGAAAGTTGCACGTGCGGGTCACGTGAATGTACGTGACAACACACGACAACGAGACGATTCGGTTTCTTCAGTTGCACCACAAGCCTTCAACAGGTAGGGCGTATAGCTAAATTCTTTCATTTATCAAACCAATACCAATATGATGTGATAAAACGTTATCTTTGTTATTCCTATAGTTACGGGTCCGTTGGTATAATGTTTTTTCAAAGACGTCTGCCTGTATTATCTTAGAAAGCTATATATAGAACTGACGAGGACCCAGAGAAGAGTAAATAGACTCGGTTGTAATTGCCAATATTATATGGCACAGAGCTTACTACAGTAGTTATTCATGAACAATTTTCTCGCGCCCGAGACAGTGACGAAGTCACATATGGCGGTCCCCACACGGGTAGTTATAATTTCCTCCTATATTATTAAGCGTGTTCGCAATAAGAAACTAAAACGATTAAACTTAAATTTGTTAAAATACCTTATTCATAATAACCAGTTTTTACAAGAAATTAATGATGCTATTTATTTTATATTTAGTGCAGTATTAATGATAAAATTGACAATTATTCAAGAATATTGCGTTATTTTGAATGTTGCTAGGTGAAACTTGTATTTGAGCAGAGATATAAATCTGAAGGAAAGAGAGACAGGATTTATTCAATAATTGTTGAGCAATAGTTTATACCTGTAATACTGTTATCATACTGTATTTAACTCGCCGACAGAATATACTGATTGATTTGTGAATACAAAGTGCCAATCTGCTTATGATATACGGTCATGTCATTACCACCTGGGTTACAAAAAAACAAATCTTGACAGTCTATATGTATTTATAAATTGTCCTTATTCATCGCTTGTGAAAAGTAATGCATTTTTTCAATATATATAAAAAAACCCGGTTTTCCCGAGTTCTAGTTTTATATGTTTTGAAATTCATGTGGTTGAAACAATAACATTGTGCCCATTGTACAAAATCTAACCAAATTTTGTTTACAGCCATGTATTTTGGAACCTTAGTTCTGGTTTCCTTGGCTCTAAATGCGGTAAGTTTTTTTTTTGTTTTTTTTGAATACTTTAGTACAAGAAACACCTGTTTACCATATATTACCTTTCTCGAACAGGGTACAAATACATCGTTACGATATATAATCCTGTAAATGAAATACTATGTTTATTTATGAATATTTCTGTTGTGTTCTTCAATTTACATGCTGGCAAGGGGCAGCGTGTAGTCTTTAGGATGATCATACGAATAACTGTCGTTTCGCCTTTGGTCCAGAATGCCCTGTTTTCGTATCTAAGGGTTCGTTTTAAAGGCTCTAACGTGGCAGGGGTGTGAGCCCGAGACGCCGACAAAGAAAATGCCCCCAGTAGTTCGGATGGCACAAAAAAAGAGACGGACACCCCATGTTTACATTAACATTCATGTATGCAAAAAAAAAACCCAACCTTCGCAGCTTGATTTCAATATCCCAAGCAACATTCCCCTCATCGCACTACATACGTAACTTTTGATTTGAAATTAGTCTCAACCGCAATTTTGTTGACGAGACGTTAAACCCCATTTTATTCCGTTCATTTAAGAGTTTGATTACTTTACAGGGTAGTGTAAGTTGCAAGGGAGTTGACTTAAGTCGCTATATAATTGAAGGTAAATAAATGTATTTTATTAAAGTCATCGATACTGTTATTTGTTCCGCAGAGCAGGATGACTTGCACTGAATGATCAATTTAATTATACACCTTACACAGAGTGATTATAGACCTTATGTGGATTGTGTTTATCGTGATATTGCATTCAAGTTAAGAACTTTTGTTATGTCGACGCCCAAACTTTACACCAGAAAATTGAGTTATCTCCCTTAAGACCGATTTGAGCTTTTTAACGAATAAGCAAAGTTTTTGAACTATTTTGATTAAAATTTGCATGAACTATTTTGAATTTTGGATATTTGGCAGATTCATTGATTGGTAAATTTAATTATATTAGGCAACAAAAATCACAAATTATACAACAGAAATTAAATTGTCCAGACCTTAAGTGCCACATAACTATAAGAGCCCGACTGGTTTGTGGGGTCATAATTTCGAGGACCGATCAGGATTTGATAAAAACATTTAATTGAATATTTTATACACTGTATATCGATATTCCTAGACAAGTTTCTAAAGCAAACTATTCACACTCTGTTTTATTCGGTAATTTGAGTTTACCATAAAGTAACTGACAAAAAGTAAAATTTTTAAATAATGTAAAGTTCAATAACAATAATAGCATAGCACGTAAACAATGTTATTTGACTTATTTATGTACAATTAATGCTGAACAGATACCAGTATATCAGATTATTTTAAACCATAATTCATAGGTAGTAAGCTTTGCTGCCCTCAATATCTGAGTATACGTATTGTTTTAATAAATATTATTTTTACTTTCAGTTTCATCTACTTGTAATTCTGTACGAGGAAATCGTCCTATACTCAATATACTCACAGATTACAGTATTTCAGCTGTAGCTAGATGTGCTCAGGGTGATCAGAATTTTACATCAATAGATGGAGTCCATTATAATCTTCCAGCCTCTTACACTGCAGGCAATAACAGATGCCTGTTTTACGTAAGTATCTTGGTTAGATTCTAATTATTATCATAAACAAGATGCAAAAGGCTCGATATTCAAATAGTATGAAATGTGGTATTACGAAGATGTATATTTGTACACAATAATTATAGTCTGAAAATGTAGTCTTACGAAGATGTATATATTGGTCCATAAATATTCACACATAATTTTAAAACACAACTATATTACGGCCATCTTTATACTGTCTGTAATAATTTGAACAATAATCAGAATATTTCCGTCATGAGTTTTAACAATTTAAATAAGTAATTGTCTGAATGGTCTTCTCTTGTAATGTTCTTTTATATGTGGAAACGTAGAATTTGAGTTAACGTTTAGATGTTGAGATAGTAAAGATGGCCTCTTTCTAGCAGAGGCGGTTTAAACAATTAAAGAGGCCATAGTGTGTGCAGTGGTGGCTCGGTGAGTAAGACACTCACTCACAAACCAGGAGGTCCATTATCGATCTCTCATGTTGGCCGAGAACGTTCCTTGGGATTTTCCATCCTGACTTAGCCTAGTCAGTGGACCTGACAAGGAACAACGCTCAAGTCTTTCGGATGGGACAGGAAATCCTAGGCAGTATAATTATAAGACTAGACAAAAACGCCTCTGTCCGAGCAAACTTTGCCCCATAGCACACTGTATAGGATGTTAAACCACATTTCATTTCCCTAGTAATCTTGAGACACTACCTTTTGAAATTGCCACAAAGAAAAAAAAATAGCCGAAATCTTAAATGTTCTATGTTGGGAAGTGTGATTATATAGTTTTTGAAACAACTTGACTGACTTACATTTTATTTTTTCTGTTGCAGCGTCGAGGCAATACATTTGCTGTTGAAGTAGCTGTGCTGTATGGAGATACGTCAGCTAAGCTATTACGTCACGAGAAAACGTACACCGTATCCTGTACTTTTGACAAAAATGGTAAACAATCATCACGTGGCCATAAAGTTATTGAAGGGTAAGCTCTATATACATGGCCGTGTTGTTAAGGCTGAGAATATTTCCAGGAACCAGACAATCAATTTGGTATCTATTTGCATTGCTTGTGTGTTACTTACCTTGTTACCTACGGCTTCCGAAGAGCAGTGTACATTATGTTTTGTGCGCGCCTGTATCGCAAAGCTAACTTGTCTGTTGTTGATCTTCAAAGACAGATCCGCAATGAAACTAATGTTATACCTGTACGTAGATTTCATTCTCAAACGAGAGAGAGAGATGGGGTTTAACGTCCACTCGACACAAACTAGGTCATTTCGGGACTAACATATGGTTTAATTTTATTTTAATAATTTGCTTGCGCGTAGGGGTCTCTAGCCGTGGGAGGAAACCGGAGGACCCGGAGAAAACCCACGAGGTTGGACATGCGACCCTACTCCTTGTCACGCACAACCGGGGATTCGAAACCACACTACAAAGGATGATGTCAAAGAAGTATTAACTAGAAACAAAAACACCCGGTCGTGATTGTATTTGCTAAGTTGTGATTTTAATTACTGTTTCTTAAGTCGTGATTTGAATTTACATATCCGGGTCGTGATTTTAATTCCTATTTCCAAGTCGTGATTTTAATTTCCATTTTAGACGATTGTCTGGACAACAGATACAGATTAATACTGGTAAACAAATTAGTTCATCGTCTCTCAGTCTATCTCTACAGAACGTAAATAACATAGATATCAAAGGGGGCATGCTACCAGACAATACCTGGGTGTCTTTGTTCGCTAAATCCAACGGTGCAAGTAAGTAGAAAGTAAAATACATTATTCTACACCACAATCGACGTTTGAGCCAGGATGGCCCAGAAAGTACGGCACTCACTAAGAGCTTCCGGGTTCCGCCCCTTTGGTGGTCGAGAAATTTCCTCGGCTCGGGATTTTCTAGCCAAGTTTGCCAGAGTTGCCAGAGACCGGGCGTGACACCTGCAATATTCTTGATGGCAAATTTTTCCATCAGTAAACTGCCCGTTTGGTGTAGATGTTAAACCATAACATTTTACAAGAGAAAAGTATGCAATCTGTCCTCGCGTCCGATGCCCTGTCCAACACTACTATAATACAATTTCTTCGTGTATAATCTTTATTAAACCGCAATCAGTTCCTGAAAGTTTGGCTTTGTCAATGGATTGGGTCTCGGATTTATAATAGATTTGATTTTTGATATCTAAGGTATCGATGTCTAAATGCTATATGCAAATTTAATCCATTTCAAATCATGGTGTATGCCGTATGACATAACGATAATATACTTATAGTACAGTACATGGCGTGCCGAGCTTATTGATGCAAATTATTCTTAGGAAAATGTCCCTCAGAAGCTGACAATCCCCATGTATCGCCCCTAACTCTCCTCTTCCTCCATATAGTTAGACTATTGTATACATGTCTATTTCGATATATCATACCATTTATTCTAGACAAAGAAATGGGCATCCGTGCCACTAGTTGTGATGCAGTTGGTGGAAAAAATGGAAAAGGAAAACGATACGCTATCTTGAGAGCAGGGTAAATATCACTCTTTTATTTTAACTTGACGGGACTAGACCAACATACACCCAATCAATTGGCGATCTTAAATCGTAGGGTGTCCCACACACCCAAAACTTGACTCAAAGAAAAGTTAAACATACGTCTATGAATTACTAGATATAATTTTTTATGTCGCCACCCTGCCTGCTGGATTCATTTCAAATTGTTGATCTTTCATACCCGAGTTATGCCTTATTCCCCGAAAACCCTGTGAACGCGATATATAGGCTTTTCAGATTTGATGCGAAGCAGTGTGGTCATGGGGAGGAACCCTATCGATAATTCGCGTTCTACGACTTTCCGTTCCAGAGTTATTCCCCCTTTGCAGCAAACCTTGTGAATGCCACAGAGGCTACATTTTTGTTACGATTTTTTTTTCAAATTTGATTGTAAACATTTGGGGTTCATTTATCGATTCATTTTCCGGTGTGGTTTCCCCTTGTCAGTGATGCAGGACGGAGGGTCTGGCAAGGACAGCTGTCTAGTCGTTCGGATGGGACGAAAAACCGGGGCCCCGTGTACAAATTGGCGTGCACGTAAAAGACCCCTTGGCAGTTGGAATTCGATATAAGAGTAGGCCGTAGCGCCGCTGCCCGGGCAAAATTTCCCTCATAGCACACTGTATGGCGTATGCCCGTCTTCATTAGCCCAGTTTAGGAGCAAAACAGTAGGACGTTAAACCCCATTTCATTTCATTTATCGATTTTCTTTCCGTGTCTTTCCGTTCTGGGGTTATCACCCGTTGCCGAAAAGCAACTCAAATCGAGCTACAACGCATGCGTCGAATACTAAGAAATTTGTCAACCAACATATTCGTTGTGTTTAACTACGTCACGATTCTACTCACACCAACCCCGTTGACTGAACTGTGACAGGACTAAATTCCGAGCAAATCGATTGCAATTCTGTCGGTTCAGACAACAATCGAGCATCCCCTTGCGATTCCTCTTTTTCCGAAAACACTGTGAATGGGATATAGGTTGTAGTTTTCAACGGATGTTTTTCAAATTTGGTGGGAAACCTTGGGGTCATGAGAACAAACCCCATCGATATGCACCTAATCGAGGCTGAACATTTTAACGGATGTTTTTCAAATTTGGCTGCTGTGTAGGACGATTTCCACGCTTTGATTGACTACATTTACAAAACATCGTATTATCAAAGTCCCAAGGATCTAAAATTTAAATTGTTTTTGGTTGTAACTGCCTCATCAAGCGATTAATTTTCTACATTTTTATGGAATGTAGATAACTCGGTAAGGCAACCCGTAAATTACTGAGAAACATGTATGCGTTAAAGTGACCTAATTCTTGGTCTCATAATAGCTTCGCCAGTTTGGTTTCCCCTTGTTAGTGGTCAAGAACTAAAAAGAACCATTGGCAGTTGGAATTAGATATAAGGGTGTTCGAATTGATAATTACCCACGACTCATATTTCTAACGTATTTTATTTTCTGGTTGCCATCTATGCAACTGTCAAATCCCACTCCCGCCTCGCACGTCTCGCGAGACCCGTCAGGCGGAAGTGACGCCACACGTATAAATAAAGTTAAGTATGAAACGCAATATTTATACAGATTAACAAGTGGAAGGCTACTGCCCGAGCAGAATTTCACAGCACACTGCCTGTTTTCATTAGCCCAGTTGGAGCAAAAGATTTCATTATGGCTACAAGATATGACACAAGGCAGTGTATGATAGATCTTTCTGGAAATCTTATGCCACCGGTTGTTTTTTATATCTTGTTTCTTCTTGTCAATATTGTATCTTGTCAATATTTACTGTTATTTAGTTGTGGTGATGGTCAAATATTCAAGAAACAAGAAGGTTTTATAACGACAGGAAGAACTTCAAGAAGTCCGTATTTTAAACCTTTCTATGTCGAAGGTGATAAATATGTAGACTTTGTCTGTAATTTTACGATTTGTTCCAGTTCTTGTGAAGGGGTAAGTTACAATACAGTATACGACCAATGTCATACCGTAACCGTATAGGTCGTGCATTTAACCAAGCGAGAAAGACGGACACGTAGCCACTAACGTATGAACGTCGAGGTAATCGGTACTGGACAGGGTGATCAACTGTCCTAAGAAGAGCTTGTCGTTCCTCGACTAACAGACTCGAACTTTCTCTGCGATGGGAAACAAGTAACAATCCCTAAGAGATTAGTGCCCCGTGGTAGACTGCAAGGCGCTTCTACCGATGGAGTGTCTTTAGTTATATTTCAGTGGTAAGATTAGGAGTTTGCCCCATTAATATTTTTAGAATCGACTAATACATAACTATAAAATTTGTCACCAATTAAAGTCATATTACTTATGAGGCAAATTTTGGGCCCATTTGTGGAGGTGACAGATTAGACACATTTAAGTGGTCAGATTAGGGGTTTGACCTACTGAATCAGACTCATAGATAGCTCACATTTTGTACTAATTTCAAGCATTACTTATGAAGCAAATTTTGGACCCCCGTCCCCACTTTTTATACGCCCACATTTTCATGTGGACGTATATTGTCTTCGCCCCTGTTTGTCCGTCCGTCCGTCCGTCCGGACACTCTACAGGTCATAATTTTTATCCGATTTCACCGAAACATGAAATATAGCAGCTGCTTTACCTCCCTAAGATCTCGGTTCCTTTCGATATTGGCATGTATTGGACCATAACGTCGTGGATTATGACCCCTGTTTGTACGAAAAATCACGTTTTTAGCTTGTGGATACTCTAGAGGTCACAATTTTGATCCGATTTTGATGAAACTTGAAATGCATGTTTATAACCCAAAGATCTTGGTTCCTTTCGATATTCCCGCATATTGGATCGTAACTTCTTGAATTATGGCCCCTGATTGTACGAAAAATCGCATTTTTGGCTTGTGGTCCCTCCAGAGGTCACAATTTTTATCCAATTTAAAAAAACGTTTTAGTATATCACCGTTACACCGTAATAAAGGTCGAGTTCGAATTTTGTGAAAATCGGCCCAAAACTGACAGACAAAATGGCCGCACTTCGTTCTCAAATAGCGTAAAATATGGTATATCAAGGTTGTGGACCCTATAGAGGTCACAATTTTTATCCGATTTTGTTGAAACTTGAAATGTAAGTTTATAACCCAAAGATCTGGGATCCTTTCGATATTCGCGCATATCGAATTGTAATTTCCTGAATTATGACCCTTGATTGTAGGAAAAATCACTTTCTTTTTGGCTTGTTCTCTATCCATCTCTCGAAAATGTTGGCGTATCCTGCCTGGCAGCCGCTGGTTAGAGCAATCAGAAAGGAGTGCGGCCCCATGTTTTTCCAAGTAGGCGTATAAAAATGAAATATTGGTCACTTTATCTAGCCCATGACACCTTTTAATCTGATTTTTTTTTATTTCAGAGTTCGTGTAAACCCAATTAAACCTTGAAGATTTTTGAATCGCGAGAAAAAGAAACGTCGGGGATTTAACATTCGAATATGTATTTTTAATACGTAAGTGTTATTGCAGTCTATATACATGATCACACACCACACTTCATCTTAAAACTAAGTCAGGCATATCTCACCCCTTTTGACGAGTAAAAACTAGTTTTAACTAGTCTATCTGCGGCTGGCAAGGACCACGAACAACTGATCATTCAGAACAAGGGGTGTATCTAAAAGCTGTTTTGAGCGAGTTATACATGCTCTACTTTTGCGACTTGTTTTTATCCTTTTCGCTGGTGACCGAGTTCGTCATTGGCTTTCAAGTGTTAGCAAGTCAAAAAAAACTAGTTTCAAGGTCACGCATATACCTCGAAATGGGGAGCAAGGTCACGCATCTACCTCGAAATGGGAGCACCACCGTGTTTGAAGCAGCTGAGATCATTTACAATCCCGACCAACCGTTTTTTTTTTTCAGTCTTTACCCATCTCTGATCGTAGGCGATCTCATCTGTGCATGTTGCCGATAAGAGAACACTTGTCGAAACGTCGTGCTAAATGTGTTCAAACTAGTAATTGTCTTCTGTATAGATTGAGTTCGCTTGTTGGTTACTGTGCTCAATCACAAAATGGAAGTAAAGGATTATGATTTTCACGGCTTTTGTCGCATTATATGCTTAATACAATTATACACGGAGGTGTGTTTAGTATAATAAGATTTATATACAAGTTTTAAAAGCAGATGGGTCTTCGTCCAAATATTTCATCATATTTTCTCCATAAAATTGAAATACGATCATCCTGAATGTAATAGTTGTGTTAATGTGTTCATTTTAAATTTTAATTATTTTTTTCAGTCGACCTAGATAGCGGACAAATAAAATGTTTTTGGACTGTCATTCTGGTTTGTTTTATATCTTTTGCAATGTGACAGATATTAATACTGCCAGCTAGGCACCCAGATATTGAAGGAATAGTCATATATTATTATAAACATCAAGCGTATAAAACTGGTGGTAACCAGTAGTTGCTGTAAACAATGGGTCTCCGCGCTCTTACGACTGACTCATCTATACATCACCCGGATCCCTCAAATCTACGACTGCTATCTGTGGTGATTATACTTATTTCAATTGATACCCGAACTTAGATTTGTATCCTCTTGACATTTGCTCATAGATACAAGGTGTACTAAGACCGATGTGTTTTATTTTTTCTGTGACCAAGTGTATTAATAATAGAATAGTCTATGTTGTCGGGGATTCGTGTACTTACTCTCAAGGTCAACAGATGACATAACGAGCCCAACTGGCTGTAGGCCTGTACAATAGACAGATTAATTTGAGCCTAATCGGAACAATATGAAACTTAGTTTATTGCAGGTCATCCGTATTGTTAAACAGGTCTAGTGTGGTAATATTGATTACTTGCAATCAGTGTTAGACATCGTATAGCTGTATATATAATTCAATGTATACCTTAAATATATATATCTAAATATATATACGTGTCTATAGTATACTATCTACCTACTTGCAACCAATTGCCAAGTATACATATCAACCATTCCTCCAGATAGCATGGTTCATAGTGTAATCAGCTGATTATTGGAGCCATTATACACAGAGGATATAATATGCAAGGTAAACCGAAGCCAATAAATACAGGTAAATACGTACTGATCTTTGTATTGCACGAGACTTATATTCGATATATATATATATATTGGCGTTTTCTCCACCTAAATACAATTTGTATACACTAACACTGTCTCTACTGTAATATTTGTCTGGATTGAAAATTGTAGAATTTATGTAGCGTTTACTCGTTTTCAGTTGAACATACCGAATACTGAAGTAATGAATGTTATACTATCGTACACACTGCAGAGTAGAGTTAGTCCCAATAGTAGCAATAGTATTAGTATGAATTATTATTTTCAGGTTCGAATAATGCGATACCGTCATTTTAATTAAAAAAACAATCTGTAAAAATTAATTCAGAATTAGAATAATAGTTATAAACTACCATTATACTTGTTCACTTATGTGGACGCATTATGTCGTCAACTATTGGCTCTAGAGGGTCATGAAATGATGAAACCTATCCATGTTCAGATCTCCTCGACCAGTCGGTCCTAGACCACCACCCCCCCCCCCCCGCCCCTCTTTCTCTCTCTCTCTCTCTCTCTCTCTCTTTACGCTAAAACGTTAACGGGGTAGAGGCTATATTGTTTGTAACGAGTTTGTCACGAGTTTGTCCAATTTCTAGTCGACCTTCAGCTTGTAATAAATCCAAAGATGGCGTTCCTAAGTGTCTAGTTGTTGATAAAGCAGCAATTTGAAAATCGTCATTTGAGGACGAACATTAACAAAATATCAACTTTTATTAGAACAAGTATTTGGCTGTGTTGGACACCCAACCATTATTTACCCTCAAAAATATTTGCCTGGTGTTTTTTTACTACTGTCATATGAATGTCTTAAACACAAGTGGTACGAGACTATACAATATCTCGGGTCAACAAGCCCACCCCAAATAACTATTTTAGAACTACTGTTTCTAGTAAGGCAACCAGCTGAATATTCTGTATACGAGAAAGCTATTGAGGCTGTTGTTATATTGCCTCAGACGTATACAAAACGCACTCACAATCAATGAACTAGCACGAAAATAAGTCGACGTCAATTAATTCAGTAACATATTGTATAAGGAAATATTTCATTATAAATCACTTGCCATGCTAGGTCATTTCGTGTTTCCCCGCTGTTAATGTAATAAAGCAAATCTGACCATTTAGTTCTTCGGGTGGACACATTTACTTAATGAACAAGGGAAACACGATGGCCAAGGGGTTGGCTCGCTTGCCTAGAGGTCGCGTGTTCATCTGGATTTTCCGACGTTGTTTCCCTTTATCAGTGATGCAGGACAGAGGGCCTGACAAAAAACCGAGGTCCCGTGTACACATTAGCGTGCACGTAAAAGATCCACTTGCAGTTGGAATTCGTTGAGTAGGGCGTACTGCCGCTTCCATGACAAAATTTCCCTCATAGCACACTGTATTCCGTATACCCGTCTTCATTAGCCCAGTCCGAGCAGAATGGTAGGAAGTTAATCCACATTTAATTTAAGTTAGCCTCCACACGATACCCCAATCCTCACCCCATCCCACCCTCCACATTCCTACAACTAGTGCCAGGTGATGCAGGACGCGGGGCCTGACAAAAAACCGACCGAGGTCCCGTGTACACATTGACGTGCACGTAAAAGATCCATTGGCAGTTGGAATTCGATATGAGTAGGCCATAATGCCGTATGCCCGTCTTCAATAGCCCAGTCAGAGCAGAATAGTAGGACGTTAACCCCATTTTATTTAGGTTAGCCTCCATACAATATCCCCACCCCACCCTCCACATTCCTACCGCTGGTGCCAGGTGGTGTACATTATTCAGCTTCAGCGTGGCGTTATTTTCAAGTCAACAAGACATATCAAGTCTTCCGTTTCTAATTCATAAATATGCGACAATAAATCTTTAAAGATGAACTAGATTCTGGATGATTGCGGCTGATGAGAATCATGAAGATTCAAGGTTTTCTGTATCGCGATTGAAATCGGGTCATTCTTTAAAAAGAGTAGAATGTTCCCAGTTTTTCTTTTTAACCGGTTTCATTAGATCTCTAACCAACATGTGTCACATTTATTTTATGAAATCTAGATTTCGGTCCATTTCGAGTGGCTGTTGTATGGTTTTCTTATTTCTAGTAAACCTCCAAAAGTACATTAATATCATGAAATCACCCGACCGCAAAATTCTTTAGCGACAGTTAACATCCGTACACTTACAGGAAGGGAATTACTTGGTTGGTTTTAATTTGTTTTTACGAGACTTTCATTATATACTGCAATAACTGCAAGGGATTTGTATGCGTGGCTGAGTTGTGTAATAAATTATTCTTGCTGTAATATTGCTACAAGGTATGCATTTATCTTTAACCTTTCACGTTGACCTTTTTTGTATATAAGTAAATTATTGGGAACCAGAAACTATATCAGTATGTAAACAATTTTATTCATTATGCTCGTATAGGCGAAGAGGCGTTATTTTGTGAACAAGAAAAGTGGGTTACGGTTAATTATGAATCATACTCCTCAGTGTTTCGTTTGATTAGAGCTAATCCCACTTAACACTGCTGTAAAGAAAGCAAATTTCTATTCCAAATTATGACTGGTCAATAGTCCGATTAACAACCAAAGGCTAACAATATCATTACGCTTTAAACAGAGCTCCAAATTGGACCAAATATGTTTACATTACGTTACGTCACGACTCACGATTTTGTTATGCCCAATTAACCAATTGCGTGACAAACGAGGCTGTCAACATGGATACAATGTAAACAATACTGTTTGGAGACAATACTTAAACCGTTTTTAATACCTTAAAGATACATTATGGGAGATAAGATAAAGAGATGGCAGTTCTCGCTATAATAGTTAAAAAACTAGATAGTGTAAAGGTAATTTGCTGAAAATTTCAAATTGACCCACTAAGTATGAGCCGAGAACGAAGCGGGTGAAATGTTCGCATAGTCTCGGTCATCATTACTAAAATCATTAATATAAACAGCATAGTCTCGATTATCCACTGTTTTGATTTAATTATCAATGGCCGTTAAGCGGCATATAGGAATCTAATCAAGCCAACATCGAAGGCTAGCCTTGACATCGAGAGTTTATTATGGTCTGGATAAGTTAATTAATGTCTAATTGATAATTTAGATAACATTCCAGGCCTAAAGAAAAACTTGTAATAAACAGATTTTGCTCTTGCACAATTCATGTTTAAATCACTGTCCAAAGTTTTAGGGAAGACCCCAGATTAAACAAGGGCTGTCATGTTGCTCTACTTGGGATAAATTTGATTGAATGGGAAGAATAGACAAACTACCCCAGTCGGGGTAGAATGGTGGGACGCTAAACCCCATTTCATTTTTTCGAAATAGATCCGTCCTGAATGAATAGTGTTTTCGAAATAAATCGTCGAAATGTGAATTAACATTTTGGTCAACTAGATCTGCGCCTGTTCTCAAGCGGAGCTAATTGCAGTAGTTGTGATAAAATAAACGACAAATATTATGTTTTTAATGTTTGTATACATTATAATACCTGACATATTTGTCTGACATATTTGTCTATCTAGTTGAGTCGATAACACGCATAGTTGACTTTGTTTACCAGCACACTATGATCTGACATTTGCATATCATAATTGCAACATTGTAGCGTCGATGGGTTCCGCTACAATTGCCGTAGAGTGGCCCACAGCTTCTATTATCTGTACTATATAAACTGATCTGTTTTAACAGCATGTTGTCACGCGGATCAAAACTTCGATTATGAGAAAAGTGCTCCCACGGGCTCGCTCGTGCACTGTAAGCAGCAAACAGTCGCCCAAAATAGACATTCACGTGACAATATTCATTCACTTATTTATCAATGAAGCCATGTAAAATAATTATTCTTTACTCGTTGGACTTTTAAAAATAAGAAGTTAAGAACTAGATTAAAATTTTGGCTAAAACTCGGCGATTTAATTTCTAAGTTAGTTGATTGTAACCAATGACGTATATATTGTAACGGTTCTCGTTTCAGAGTCAACTCATGTAGTTTCGCCCTTTTTCTATCTTTTAAATCCATTCTCGTGGCAACATGCCGACACTGCAAGACTGTGAAAGTTACTTTTATTTAACCGTAAAACTCTGTTGTTAGTGGGCACTTTAGTTACTTTAGAAGTTACATTGTTGCTAGCTCTAAATACGCAGAAAAAATTTGAGACTGGAAATTAATTGAACGAAATTATTTTCCCTAGTCTCGATTAACCAGACGTGTATGATTAAAATAAAATTACGGTACTGTTCACAAGACTCGGATTCTAATCATTTTAGGGCGCTGCGAATTTGGCCTCCGGTTTTGTGTCAAATTTAATAGGAGGATGTGCCATTATTGCTATGCCATTCGTGTTTAGTATCCTTATGCATTTGCCATTTCTAACATGGTGGTTACAAAACGTTTCAGTTATTATAAATCCAGTAACAACTCATTTTTGTAGAACTGAAATATAACCAAAAAGACGCGCATTGACTGTTTCATAATTATCATAGGCGTACGGGCTCGATGACAGTTAGGGGGGCAGAACCCGAAATGCCCGAAAAAATTTCGGTGTCGGTCTTCCTCGAGAGGCGAAGAAGCGGAGCTGACCTTGTATGCCCCCCCCCCCCCCAAGAAAATTTTGAAATATTTGACGTTTTCCTGCTATTTCAGCCCGTGAACAAGCAACTTCAATGTGGTCTAATATAGCCTAATGACAATGGCTGACTCGAATTCCAATCAAAAGATCAACCGTTGGGAAAAAAAACTGCCGCAAACGCTTTTTCCTATTATTCCAGCCTGTGAATACAGCAACTTCAATTCGGTCCAATATAGCCTACCTGGCTGACCAGAATTCAATCAATCAATCGTCGCGGGTTATGGGGGCCTCACCCTCCCAGAGAAAATATTGAAAATTTAACCACCGCAAATGCGTTTTCTGCTATCCTAGCCTGTGAAAGCAGCTCCAAAAGTATCCAATGGTTTTGTAACCAAAATCCCATTCTGAATTCCAACCAT